CTTGGCCAAGGCAAGACTCCCTTGCCCACAAGATCATCCCTGCTGCACCTGTTGTATGGATGTACTGGAGACCCCAGACGTTGGCACCTCAGTCTGCCCCCGCCCCCACCGTTGGCTCTCTGCCGCCATGGCCAGGTACCCCACCCCAGAGCTGACGGCTGTACAAACAGTCTTGGGGAGCCGCGCTCTGCTCTCTTTGTTTAGCCAGCCACTTTGCTGCTAATTCCTCCTGAGCAGGTGGTGTTTGCTCTTTCCACTCAATGTTTGTTCTTAGTGAAACTGGCTGCAAAGCCTCTGCAGTTGCTGCTATTTATCTTCTTCCCCAGCTTGCTTTGTTAACGGCAGCCAGGTGAGTATGCCAGCGGTTAGGTCTCCCAGTGACTTGCTCCTGGATGGGAGACGTTAAGCATTTGCATTCATCTGCTTGGGCTGTGGCTCTCATACGATTGACCGAGGAGGCTCCGAAATTTCAGATAACTTCCTGCATTGTACATGCTCCGGGGAACATCAATGAGCTGCTAGAACCAAGGCAAGCCAGTGGTGCTGGGATTGCACAGCTTGTTGGGAATTTATTTTATGGTGCAATTTATTAAACTAGGGAGAGAAGGCTGTTTCTTCACAGCTGAATCTGTACCAGAACGTTTCCCTGACCTCCCTGTCATGCCCCAGAGCTGATGGGAAGTTTTGCAGCTCAGCCAAATTCATCTTTCAATTACATCTGGACTGATCTGGAGTGACTCCAGGGAAGTTAATAGAATTACTTTGGATTGATGCAAGTGTAACACAGCAGAGTTTGGCCTGTTTGGACCTATGCAATGAGCAATAGAGGAATCATAGAACTGATTTGTGATTATGTCAGGTGCTGGCTTGATTCAATTGGCATCCACAATTATGCAGAAAGAAATGGGCACTGAGTCTTGTTCGGTGTCACCCCAGGGAAGAGCATGGCACACATAAAAAGACCTTTGATTTGGGGAGTAGAGTGGAAGACCCAACTAAGTGGGTGTTGTAGGAGGTGCAGTGAAGGGCTGAGGATACTTAATGCCATTACTTGCATCCAGAGCAAGGGGGTTACACATGATGAACCTCTGGTTCTTTCTACCCACCTCTCATCCTGTCAGTGCCTGGTGACCAGCACTGGGACTACCGTAGTGCTAGAACCTAGCACCTCACTGCTCAGCTATTGAGCAATGTCAAAACTGCTCTGCCAGCCAACGCAGTGCAAATATCGGAGTAGGCAGGGCTACGGGAAAGTCTCAGGAGGCAGAAAGGGAATATATTTGCACAACAATGGCATGGCCGTTTCAGGATCTTTTCAAAAAATGGTTACAGCACATAACAAGCTACATAAATGGAGCGGCCACCTGCTTCGTAAAAAAACTCTGCCCTTTTATACTCCTTGGGCATTAGATAAACTGGAAACCTTTTTTTCCCCACCCACCCCCACACCTAAATAGGGCAGATTTACACAAATATACAGCTTATTAAAGAACTTAAAATAAAAACTCCATTTCATTTAAACATCACTGATTTCATGGGAATTAAAATAGCACCATGCAAGACAGAGTTCCAAGTATCCAGTTTAACAAAACAGGGAAAATTATCCCTTGTCACGATAGTACTTTAAGATAAATATTGTGGGTGCCATGATTTTTGTTAATGAGATCTTTATAAATAGATGAAGATGCTCCTATGAAGCCTGCAAGAACACGATCTGGACAGTGTCTGGTGTGACGGCTTCATCTTGGCTTGCGCAGCTGGCACTGGCACCCCCTCAGCTGCAAGAACAAGTCTTTAGAGCTTGAGTTAAAGACAAACTGAGTAGATGGTGGAAGTGATGGGCACACTTGTGCTCTCTGTGACACAGAGAGGAGAATCAGTGTTGAGCAGGGGATTACATACCTCCTCTGGACAACAGAAACTCACCTTGAGCATCTGAGGTCCCTGGCAATGACTGAATCCCTCATAGACCTTGCTTATAGTATAGCCACCATTCAAGAGTGACTTCAAACCCTCGGGGCTAACAGCCTGGATTGCAGGAGGACTGAAGGGCCAGGCCCACAAGCTCAGGTCTCTACCCAACGGGTGAACTGGTGGACTCAGGACAAAAACCAAACTCTTGAATGACTACTTCATGTTGGTACTCCACCAGTCCAAGGGGGTTAGCCTGCTTGACAGGCTACAGGATCATCATGGTGGGGGTGACCACCCTCCCACCGTTGGCATTGTGGGGGAACACCTACAAAGGCTAAATATCTACAAGCCAGCAGGACTGGAGGAACTACGCCTAAAAGAACCGGCCGACATCGTCACGCACTGATGGCAGAGTCATTTGAAGACTCGTGGCACTCAGGAGAGATCCCAGAAGACTGGAAAAAGGTCAATGGGGTACCCATCTTTAAGAAAGGGAGAAGGGAGGACCCAGAAAATTACAGGCCAATCTGTTTGACCTCAGTCCCTGGTAAAATCCTGGAGAAAATGATCACAGAACCCGTTACACACAGGCTATGAAACTTTGTGAACAGGCACAGAAAGGAAAGCACGATGCACCCCGACCTGGGCGTTATTACACATGACCTTTTCCTAGTTTAAACCTGTGAGTGCAATCACAATCAGGACTGCTTGCCTGCCTGCTGTACAGAATAGGCCAGTGACGTTAAAAACTCCTCTGCCCCTGGCATGAAGCGTCTTCTTGGGTGAAACTCGGACGCTCCTTAACAGAGCACAGTGGCATCGGAAGAGCAGCTCTACACAAAACTGTCCTCTCCACTGTTTTGCAAAGGGGAAAGCCTGCGGTCCTCCCTGTCGTAGTCGGAGGGATCCCAATGTGGTGATTAGAGCAACATTGCTCTTCTCTGCAGCTCCCACTTCCTCCTTCACCTCTTTTCCTGAATGACTGATGACTGTTACAGCTTTTATTTCAGTCCTGCCATTGCCTGGTACCGGCAGCCCAACATACCACACAGGCTGACGTCGTGCGAAGTGCCTTTCCTTCTGTGCTCCAAACAGACAGTGCGTGCGTTTGGTTTTGCATATGCTGTGGTTTCTCTCTTTCCTGCCTTCCTGCCCTCCCCACAACCTTGTAAAGCCTTCAGTATGTCACAATCTGTCAAACAACTCCTTGGGCCAGGTTTTTACAAGAATCCTACTCGATACCCAGTGCCAAATAACCTCTTTAAACAATAGTCCATGAAGTCTTGCATTGCCTATTAGTCTGCTCTTGCATGCCATATATAGGCAAAAGCTAGGGAATTCCCTGGCCCAGAAGAGTGTTTGAATGAGTGCATTGTTTCTCACAGCAGCTGAATGTATGCTGGGCATGTGAGCCGTATGCATCGCACCGTTATCTTTCCACTGATTCCACGCTGAAGTGTGGGCGGGCATACACATACAGGCTGGGCCCTGATGGATGCATTCCCAGAGATCAAAATGCAGGTGGCAGCGGTTCAAGTACATCACACACAATGACACAAGTTCCCAATGCAAAGCTAGCAGTCGTCAGGCCACAGCCAAATAAGGGCCTCATGGCTTTGGCCGAATTTAAAGAAATTTAAACAATAGCTGGATCACACTGGGATACGGCTCGATTCAGAGCAAGCTTTCCACGTAGCTTTTGGCAGTGCATGAGAATCGTCTGCTACGCAGGCAAACAAAATGCTGCATTTTTCTGGAGCAAAGGAAACTCTTGACGCAGTACAGCACATACACACCAACACGCAGAGGGACTTGCGAGCAGCAAGCCTGCGATGCAGTGCCGCGGCGACTGCACAGATTGCCTTTCACGTTCCCCAGCTCCACGCGGCAAGTGCCAGGGTGCGAGAGCTGCTACGGACCCTGCAGAAGTCAGCTGGGTGACCTTCCAGAGCGCTGTGCTCATTTCTTTCTAACCAGCATTTGTCAGCCTTCCTGCACCTCTCCAGTCCCTCGTATTTAGATGCCTTGCCCTTTTGTCCATCGTGTCCAGGCTCCCAGGTTTTCTGACATGCAGCTCCTCTCCTTGCTGCCAAGTGAGCTGGGATGGGACCCAAACAGATGCCTTTCACCGAGTGACTGTGTTGGAAAACCTTTACATAAAAGCTGATGCTTTGCTGCTTCCCCCTCGCCTCTGAATCCTGAAAATCTTCACTCTTCTTGCTCTAAAAAAGCTTTTCTAAGGAATCCCAGAATTGAGACTCAAAAGCACTGTCAAGAGCTGGATATAAAGACCTGAACTGGGGATGGAGCTCCAGGCAGGACTGAACTCTCCAATATGTGAGGCAGTAGATACACTAGGTCTCTGTCCTAACAAATATTTCCCAGTGTCATCACAACAGCTCCATCTCCACTGGCGAGAGCAGAGATGAGAACCGTAGTAGAGAGGGACATGTCGACAGTGGTGCCCCCTAACGCTATCTGCTTGAGAAGACACGGTGATTAAGCAGCGGCTGGAGGTGGGGGGCAGCCCGGCCTGGGCACCATTCCCCTGCCTGGGGTAGGGATGTGTTGGGGAAGAGTGGGGTGGGGGGATAGCACTGCTATGGGTGCAGGCTGCTCACATGTGTGTGCATGTCTGTGGCATCCCCCTGCCCATGGTGCCCTGGCCGGTTGCCCATGAAGCCCATCCGTAAGGCTGGCCTTGGTTATTATCCTCACTGAGACCGCACTGGGGGAAGAAATGATGGGAAAATGAATATTGACATCATGTTACGCTGTTATGCAATCCACCCACAGGGTTCAGACTTGCAAACAGGTCGGCTCCCATTTAAGTACCTAAGCAAAGTTGGCAGATTTTCAGAAGGGCTCAGCATCCATCAGCCTCTGCTGAAAATACACCAAATTCTTCTGAAAACTGTTCCAGAGGGACTATTTAAGACAACAGGGCCAAGTTGTGATTGATAATTAATATACCTCTTTTTTCAGGAAACAGGAAAGGCAGTGTCTGAGTTCACATCTCAGAGCAAGGGGCTTTGCACAAATGTGCCCCAAGGTGAAATTTAGCCTTATTCTTTCAACATACTATCTCTTATTGCACACAGTCCAAGAGATTCTGATCTCATTTACACTAGGATCCACCTGGAGCCATTCTCATTGAGTCCATGGAGCAGTTTGCACCAGAATGTGACCCACCGAATTACTGCATCCCAGTTCTCAAGCCAGCTGGAAATGCACGGTAAGTTCATGCTAGCTTATGCTATATTGCCCAACCATATAACAATAATAATGTTTCAGCTGGGATCTCTTGCTACGATCTCAGAAAGTCCTTCTTTGCACTGTGCACAGTGTTTGATCACATTTCCCGGTACGTGCCATTGCCCCTTGTAACCGCTCAAAGCAGCAGTCTGTACCATGCAGTTGCATTCTGCAGCTGACACCCAAACTACATCTTGGAGAGAGAAAAACAAGCTTTGAATCCCACCACCCAAGCAATCGCCAAGTGGCTCTCCCCGACTTCAATGGACTACATGTGTATTTAAAGGGAACCTGCTTTGATGGAAGGGGGGCCATGGTGAATACTACAGGCGTGCTCCTGAGTTGTCCCATAGTCCTAGAACTGGGGTGAGCCCTGAAACACAAAGGGAAAAAAAATCACTTGGTTTCAGGTTTTGGCTTGGATGGGAAATGACTTATGACCCAGGAAGCCCCCATCTGCAAAGTCTCCTTTTCCTTGAGTTGTATTTCAAGAAGACTTAATCATCCCTCTCCCTTCCTTGGCCATCTTCAAGGTGCAAGTACTTAGCCCATTCTTGTTTTCTAGGTACCTCGGGGTCTCTGATGGGCCTGTTCCCACGCACAAGCACCTGGAGGCCACAATTAAATGAGCTGCTATCATCTTTTGAATCAGTGGGAACAAGAAGGATTTGCTGGGTCTTGCTTCAGATACTCAGCAGATCTCCCTGGGCTCATCTTAGCCTGATGGACGCCTCTGGTATAGAACAGCTAAAGATATGACTTAAGTATTACATTACCATCAGTTGGTGCCTTTAATAGATACCGGTGTCTGCTCTTTCAGTGATCCTGCATGATAATAACAATGCCCTCTGCTGAATCTAACTAGAAGAACTCAACACTCCCACTCACAGCACTGACAGCTCCCAGTCATATGGTACAAATAATATTTAATGGACATTTTTACAGGAATGATTTGGAGATGGCAAAGTCTGGAAAAATTCCCAAAGCAAACACAGTACAGGAAAATTTATAAATGCCCATAAACGTGGTTTAAGAGTCCTTACAGTTGGTTCCCAGTACGCCAGACTGTTCAGTGTACTAGGTAAACTTCCCTCTTTGAATACGCGATGCCCAGCAATGCCGTTTCAGTTCAAAACACATCGACGAGGTGCCATTCATCAGCAGAGAGCAGATTTTGAAGAGAGGAACGGTCATCCCATGGGAACCTGCTTTGTCGGAAATGGTGCGAGGGTCGCTGGCAGAGCAAACACCTGCCCTGCGGTGGGAGACAAGGTCAGTGGGTGCCCAGAAAAGCAAAGAAGAGCTGAAGAAGTGGGGAGGAGAGCAAAGGGAATGCAAGATCCTGTTGATAACCAAACTAGACTGAGTTGCAAAGATGGGGACGCTGTTCTGGAAAGTGCTGAAGATCCCTTGATTTCAGAGGGATTTAAGTACCCCTTTAAAATGCAGGAGCCTATCAGTGATACACCATGCTAAATGGCATGTTTCCAGGCTGCCTGTTCTAGCAGCACTCACTATATTAAGGACACAACACATTTCACTTGTTTCGTGGCTTTGTGGGGACTTTAAATTTCAGCAACAACAGTAGGTCAAGGTTACATACTGCTGTAAGTGGGTGCAGCTTTATGAGCTTCAGGAAAGTGGCCTCTCTTTCACTCAGGTATAGGACACCCGAGAGATGAAACAGTGCTTTGTCTCTGCTCAAGCATGCTTTGCAACAGGCCACACAACTCAAGCCAGAACATCTTACTTCCTACCGCATACAAATGCAGGCTGGAAGGAGACGAATGCTGCGGGTCCCTGAGTCCGAGCGCTGTTCTAGTCAGAGTGGAAAACAAATCCAAACCAGCCAGTGCCTAAATTTGGCCTAATGAGTCATAGCAGGGACAGAATAATCATTACACTTAAGTAATCTGCCTTGTTTTCAACAGCTATGGGGTTTTTCCCACACCAAGGGCCGCAGGTCCCTGACTAGGCAAATGTGATTTTCAAAGCAAAGTTGCTAGAGGAATCTCTGTGCTCTGATCTCTCCAGAAGAGAGCGGTGGAGAGAGCCACAGGTAGTGAGGGTAAAGGTTGCCCCAGGTCGCCCTGGGAGGAAAAGTGTCTGTGGCCTCCAGACTTCCACAGCTGTAAGGTGGAGGAGCTATTTGAGAAGATCAAGTAGGCCCAGAAATGGAAAGTTACCCGTGTCATTGGGCAGCATGTTCCCAATTCAGATGAAGCTTCTTGGGAGCCCAGACTGGCCAGACCCGGTGCTACACCTTGTCAAATGTGCGGATCCTCTGTGGCGGCTCAGCAGCCCTTGATAGCGCAGCAGGGGCTATGTGAAAGCAAAGGCCGCCAGGACCGCTAGTGGGAGCATGCAGCGAAGGGTTGTCCACTCCTAAGCGCAGGTATTACTGGCTGATGAATGCGTGTCCAAGGTCCCCTGTGCCCAACCCACAGAGGACATGAGCTCGCCAATGGTCATACACAATAGGTGGAGTAAGAAATGGTCCTTGCACCTTCACCACCTACTCACATTCTCACCTCCCCCTGGCCCGTGGCATGTTCAGTTAATAGAAAATGCCAGTGACCGCCAAGGAAGCTTGTTACATTCAAGTAAAATCGTGTAAATTCTGCTCCTGTAAAATCCTGCTTGGTTGTATCCTTGCTGATTAACGACAACCACTGGTGGTAGAAAGCTGCAGTTTTTGTGGCACTGCCACAGCAAGAAGAACGGTGACAACTGCATATTTGCTGGAGCTCTAAGAGTTACCCGCTGCTGCTTCTGCAGCTCAGTATAATACAGAGGCATAAATTCTTCACCACGAGACCATTTTCTTAATAAAGTGCCTGTGCCGGGGGCCAGTATTATTGCTGGGTTGGAAACACTGAATGTCTCCATGTGCATTTCATTAGCATGCGCTTGCTTTGCTCCCACAGATGCTTTACAGGAGAATCTGTGCCAGCACCGGAGCCCAAGTGTCACCCAGTGAAACCCAAAAGCCACATCCATTTTTAGAGTGCGTTTGCCCAAAGAGATGTTGCATTATCTGAGCACCACGTAAGGGAACAAAATGAACTGAGGCTCCCCCGGCCACTTATTTACCTTCTGTTTAAACAGTCTTTCAAGTTCTCTCCTGCGCACCCTTCACTTGGCACCTTGCGTGGTGTTGGAGAGGCTATTTTTAAAAGCATGCTGCTGGCTTTTATCTCAAGCTGCCTGAATCTTTTTTTCCCCCCTCCCCAGCCCTTGTGGTCCTCAACTTATTTTAAAGACGTTTGGCAGATAAAAGCGGAGAGGAGAGATAGGGCAAAGGCAGCGAGCTTGGCCTGGCAAGCTGGGAACTGGGGAGGGGGTGGGAAACAAACACATAAAAAAGTACCTAAATACTTCCTGGAATCACCGGTGAGTCAGCGCGGGCCCAATCCCAACGGTCTGATGGGAAAAATGAAACCTGCCGCTTTAGACAAAATAAAGGTTTACTTGAGTGAGGATGGCAGAATTGGGCGATGTAAATCCCACATTCTCTTTGTGTTGTTACCATCACAACCCAGGGCAACAAACACGCTCAGGAATTAATGCTTTGGCAGCATCCAGGACCAATAGCTCTGGAGGGCGAAGCTTTCCCTCCTAGCTCATCCTAGGCAGCCTCTCTAAGTCTGCCCCTGCACCCATGGGCCCGAGTCCTCGCCTTAAACACCCTTTGAAAGTCATTTCCTTGTGGCAGGCTCTCAAATGGCACATGCGCCAATTCTGATCTGATTCACGCCGGTGTAAATCGGGGCAGGGCTACTGCAGTCAATGGGGGGCTGCCCATGTGCAAAGTGAGGGTCAGGCTAGGATCAGGGATTCATACTGACCGCTCTCACCCAGGGAGCGCCAAGCCCCTGTCACTGTTAGGAGGATACATGAGAGAGCCAGGGAATGCTATGCAGCTGTTTGAAAAGCCAGTTTCCATGTGCATGCTGCAGTCGAACACCAGACCAGGCCAAAAATCAGCATCTGTGCTCTGAGCCTAGGGTGGATCGGTCAAACACCCAGCAGTGCCCAGGCAGCAACATAAAAGTGAGTCAAGAGGAAAGCAAGCCTGGTGCCAGGAACCTAAACAGCTGATCCCAAACAGCTCGGGATGCAATACAGGCCCCTAAATCTAGTGAGTGGAGGATTACGGGATGTGATCCAATCTAATGTACAATAAACTCAGTTGTGAAGTATCCTGCCTCTGCTCTGACAAGCTTTCTTCATCCCCAGTTCCCATTTCCCTTTTTACACCTTCCCTCTCTCACCCTCCTGGTCCCCTACACATGGCAGGAGCCTGCAAAGCTGCTGCTTGTCCTTCACAAGTCCCAATGCCTGTAGCACACTTGCTAATGGAAAGGCGAGTGATTTGCTTCTGCTGAGCTGAAGCATTTCTGTGTCCCTCACAAACTTGCTTGCTCTCGTCAAGCCGAAACTGCAAATTCCAGGGTGCAGATGCTCGTCCCTATGGCACACGTACGCAGTGTTGAGTGACAGCACGTGGGCCCTGGATTGAGGCTCGCAGGTGCTCCTACAATAACAATAGTGCTAACACTCCTGCGCTGTTCTAGGTCCAGCTGCACTGATACGAAATTCAGGCAAAACCCCAAGGATTCTGCTGCTTGGACCAGACCTCGCTCTCCTTCTCCTGAGATCCAAATCCGGCTGCATACTCACATAAACTGATCCACTGATAAGAGAAGACAGGATCAGGCACCTTCTTAGTACGTTTCATTAAAGCACTGGCTGAATTTGCCTGCTTGACATGCTTTATAATCAGCCCAGCAAACTGGGAAGGTAGGATCTGTGCTGGACGGAAGGCGCGGTGCAGTGACTGGTACCAGGCAGAGTGCTGCGCCCCTTGGTTAGGGGGCACAGAGCACGCAGTGGAAAGGGCTGCATGGGGCAGAGACAGCAACTGCAAGCTGACAAATTACAGCAAGTTTTGCAAGAATGATATGATAAACCCAGAGTCAAAAAAAATGTGTTGGGTAGACAAGTTCTCCCTTGCACCTGTCTTCAGTTCTTTCATGGCCCGAGCCCCCTTCTTGCATTTCAACCGGGCTATATGCTTCTGCCATGGAAAGCCACCACTGACGAAAGAAATCTTTCCTGTCATGCAGCTGCTGAAGAGGAAACAGCCTCTTCCAGGTGCTGGTGACTCCATAAGCAGCAGTGAGACCTCAAGGCTGGTTGAGCAAGCTGGTGCTATGGTAGCTAAATACCACAGGACTGATAATCCTGGGAAGAGTGTTGGGACATGGCCAAGCAGAGATGGGCAGAAGCTGCAAATGTAGCTCCAAACAGCGTTTGGAGATATTCTGGTCTGAGGTTTTGACTTTGGCCTACCTCCACTAATGGTAAGACTCTTGGTGCTGACTTGAATCGTGCAGCTGTGGATTCCTCTACATGCCTTCCACCCCTTCCCCAGCTCCATCTCCAGGTGTGCAGCAAGGTAAGCTCAGCCAGGGCACGGTTTTGAAAATGAATGGGTTCAACTGAAGAGCCCATAAAACCGTAAGTGCAGCCAGACAGGAGCTGTCGATAGATGCTTGTGAGAGGTCAGTGGAGTGCACAGCCAGAGCAGAGGCCTGGTGATGGGCCGCAGAGACAAGGCGAAGGCATTTTGAATCCGAACCAAGAGGAGAAGGGGTTTCTATCCAGCCCATGACAGCAGGGGAAAAGGGCGGTTGCAGGAAAAGCAAGATGAGATTAGCCAGGCCATAACACAAAAACAGCCAATGGGTGAAGCAAAATGTGCTGGAGATAACAAGCTGGTTACACAGCTGGCAGATGGCAATGGAACAGGTAGCGAAGACGGGAACAAAACCCCATGCACTAAAAAGCGTAATGGACAGCTTTAAAGACCATTTTCAATCGTTTTTTCCCAGCCTGCGGGTGTGGACACGAGAGTTGCTGCAAAGGAACAGATCCTGGTTGTAAGGATCAGACACATTATCTACGCTCCCCAGCTCCCTGCCCACCATCAGTGCTACCGCAGCACCATGTGTGTAGGCGATGGGGAGCCAGGTTGCACTGAGCAATCTGCCGCTCCTGGATGAAGTGACTTGGGCCATGGACACCCAGCCAGAACCCCAGTATAACTTGCATCTGTGCATGTTTTGCTGAGGCTCCAGTGTGGGAGTGCTCCTGGCTGGCCTCCTGTCTGCTGTCACTCTTGGCGTTCAGGCTGCTCGGGTCTGTGCGCTCTCCGGGGCCATTGCCTGCGACCAGCCCCCCTGGAACGCAAGTGCAACACAGAAAGAACAACTCAAATTCATGTTCAGTGGTGAAATCTTAGAGAGGTTTACTGTTTCCTAAGAGTGCACTAGCTGGTCTGCATAGCCATCTACCCAGCTCAGCAAAACTACCCAGAAACAAAGGTAGGTGCAGCCCATGGTCCCCAAAGTAGCTACAAGAAGGCAAGTCTTGTAACCCCCATGTGTATAGCCAAGACACCCTGCCCCGTGCCAGTTCTTGTCTTTCTTCCTATTGAGATGTCCCTTTTTCACTTGTCTCCGTGCCAAGTCCAGACACTGGCAGATCATCCCTTGCCAGCTTTGGACATCTGTAGAGTTCAGACATCTACAGTTCACTCCCTTCCACGTTTGGGCATTTACAGCTCTCCTCTGGTGGTCCCTACTTTACTAGCAAGTTCTTACTTTATAGTTTTCAGGTTGTTCAGCTACTTGTTTTCCTATTCTCCTTGAATTAGTATTTTTGTTCACTGCACTCTATTGTAGATAATGTACAGAAGAAGCTTAATCTGAATTTGCTTCCCCAAATGATTCCTTGGTTCAAGAAACAAACAGCTGCTATTGTATATAGTTCTACACAAAAAAAGGGAAAAAATACCAGAGCACTTACTTGAAATGCCAGGGTTTTCGTGCTGTTACCAAAATCCTCTCCATATTCCTTTAAGTGGCCATGTACTTTAGGCAGGGAAAACCCATAACCAATGTACTTGGCAGACTAGACAAAAAAGGGTCATAATGGCATCTTAAAATTTGCCCTTTCTAAAGCCAGGGAAAAGCAAAGGCAGGCCAGCCTGTGGGGGCTGCTGTTCTCTGCACTGCCCTACTCCCCTCTTCTGTCGCAGGTGGGTTCTCCAAAGACAAAATCGAGATCCTCATAAGGACGAGACCCTCAGATCCATTTAACTGGAGCTGGTCAGGAAACAGAATATCTGGCCAATGGGAAATGCCAACGTTTTGAAATTTCTCTCAACCCAAATTGAGACAAAAAGTAAACTTCAACAACAACAAAAATCTGTGGAAATTTCAAAATGGTTCATTTCGTATACATTGAAACATCCTTGTTAAAACACTTTATTTTGATGAGGTCCAAAGATTACAGTAGAAAATACTAAATATGTGCTGTTCATTTTAATTAAAAAGTGCTAAGACCCAAAACACAACAAGAAAAATCAAAACTAAACACAAACAGGAAGTGAAAACAAAGTGAGACTTGAAATGAAGCGCTCTGTTTTGCTTTGAAGAGCTTTAAAACTTTTTCCATTCCAAATATTGTCAGTAGATTCCCCCCAGATGGTTCAGTTTTGGTCCCGCTGGGGAACAAGTGTTCCCTCCAAAACCTCTCTCCCAGGTCTGTACATTACTGATCTGAGTTTGGAGCAGCCTTGTACAGAGCTGAGCAAAGCTGACACAAAATGAATCTGTTTTCTCATTAAAGCCACTGAACTGTGACGCTCTTTTGAAGCTTATGAACCTGCATGATGGTGGCTGCGTATGTAGATCTGTTCTCTTGGACTCCAAAACTCTTTTCATACAGCCAAAGCCACCTGGACAAAATAATTACGGACAATCGTGGGGAGAAGGGAAGTGCCTTCTTGAAATGACTAATGACCAACAGAAGGAAAATGACATATCTGCTTCCTTGACCACAAAGTGCATTTCCTGAAGCATTACTGAAGCGCATTAGCCAGGGTTATCAATCTCAGTTGCTGCTGATAAGGGAACTTTATCAAGGGACTCTCACTAATGAGCCTCAATTGGCAATAGCAGATTAACCGGGAGCAGACATGTGCCTGCTATTAGGTGTCATTTTTAATGGGCTGCAAGTCATTGGAAAGATAATTTTTAGTATGCCTTCAGGTGTGCCAACACAGAAAGGCCCTACAGAACCTACCGTGATGTTCAGACCAGATCCCTCCTCTTCCCCTAGTGTAAATCTTCCATTCTCAGTGGATCATTTTACTGTGTCCCATTACTGGGATTTTGTTCTGGAGCTCTGTCAGATCCAGGGTGCCCCTGCGGAAGAAGGAACTGGAATTACTTTGGTCCTGCATGAACAGAAAGCTTCTGCAGGCAAGGTAGGTTATGCAACACAATTGCAAGGTCTTTGGGGCATGGACCATTATTTGCACTGGGTCCCATTCTGTGCCTCACTAGGTGCTATAGCAATGCAAATAAGTAATACTAATAATGATTTCCTCTCTGCTTACTCATCACTCTCTTCATCTGTGTGGCAAGATGCCCACAAGGGAAACAGGTGGCTTGACTTGACTATTTTACAGTCCAGACGTTTGTCACCTACTTACCAGAGACCTGAAAAGGGAAACTGAATTAGGGATTGGTGCCCTCTTCCTCTTTTGTTTCTATTTTATGTATAGAGATTGTGGCTCTAGAACATCCAAATTCAAACCTCATTCTGGTTTGAGGCTCATGCTGAAGGCTGCCTCCAAGACACTCAGCTGCAGATAGGACTATCTGGCTGTTCAGGGTTTTTTTCCAAAAAATATTTATTTATCTCTCTCTCTCTATATATATATATAAATAAATATTCATCTATACCTCAACCAACCTGTCTTGTGACCAATATGGTTCACTTGACAGTCCAAAACACACCTTTACAGTTACATCATTCTCATTCCCATTACAATAACTGCACCACACATCCATGTACCCACGCTCCTGTGTGCCCATGCACCTGTCACCATTACAATTATGGAAAGAAGCACCTTAGTGTCCTCCCTTCACCCCCACTCCAACTCCCCCTCCTGTTTCCACAGTCCTTTCACTAGTCCTTGTACTTGTTGTCGTCATTGTCTCCATCGCCATCATTGTCATCCTCCTACTCTGGTACTGCCTGTATGCCAGGGAGGTGTGGAGGAGACAAACCATACTCCTCCTGATGTCAAGGGGTCAAGACCTCGACCAGAGAGGCAGTTCGGTATAGACACTTGACCAAGCAGCAAAGGACCCTGGCAGCACACTTTGACCAGTTCATCTCCTGCTTCAGGATCTCCCTGTGGAAGAGCAGGAACTTGTACATGAACAGACACACAAATGTAGTCAAGGGCTGCATCAAAGTGGGACTGAGTGAGATGTACTCACACTACAGGAAGACGGTAGAAGACGACAGAGAAGAGATGGTGGAGATCATAAGGAAGAGAGGGGACTGGCAACAACGATGGTGATGATCTGGGGGGTCAAAGGCAGCTGGATGTGGTGCTAGCTGCATCCCTCCCTTGTATGGCACCAGTGTACCAATCCTGACCTGCTCTTAGGCTATGGTAGGCCTTTGCTTTGACAGTTCATAATACAGCAAATATTTTTAAAAAACAAAAACCCTCAACAGCACAGGCCCAGTTTTGCAATAAAATTCCTTTACAGTTCACCATCCAGATTGTCTCAACTTCTCCTGACAGCTGATGAGGTCAAGGAATACATTATACTAACTAAACAAGCAGATTGGGTAGCTGTCACACTACATCCTACTTGTGACCTACCCTTTAAAAGAAGGCTTACCACTTTAACCCTACCCTTTAAAAGAAGCCTAAATTGGAGACAAAGTGTAACAGGCTTCTTGCTAACAGCAATCAGAGGATAATGAGAATTATTTGGGGTTTGCATGTTACAGCTCCCTACAGTATTGCACATGGGCATAAAACATCACCATTCAGTTCTTTTTGCTGAAAAGGATGATTTTTTCCTCTTCATCGTATGAAAGGGATTGGGCTCTGTGCAAGAGGATCTGCAGAATTTAATCATGTCAGTGATCAAGCTAGGTCCTTTCAAGCTTTAAAATCTATAAACCTAGGTTGTCACTGAAATTGTCCTCTATTTTTCTGACTAGTTCTTTGTAAAGTTTGTAAAGGAAAGGAAAAGAAAAAGATATCTTTCATGTAAACCCAGATGAGCCCTCTCAAAACAAGCTCCTGTGTCTGAGAAGCCTATTGCACTTGTAGTTTATATTTGCCTGGGGTTTCTCAACATTCACAGTGACATCTCCATCCCTTTCAAAGGCAGAAGGGGAGGGCTCAGGTAAATAGGGGCTATCTACTAGTGAGGTGACTGGGGACTGGCCAAAGAAGCCCTGGGCTAGCAACATATGTCATTTGACCCTGGAAACTGCACGTGTTATTCCTCTCTTTTCCAGGCTGGGATTTGAGGGAGAGTTTCCAGCAGGATAAGCTAGCTAAATATTCTGAGAAGCAAATCCTCTGACACCTTTTCTGGAGGGAAAGAGCTCCTGAATAGACACAAAAAATTGAAGCTTAAATAAACCAATGATCTGAAACAGATGCACCAGGTCCTTTTAATGCCCCCAGTTTTGAAGTGGTAAATCTAACACTTTTTGGTTTATGAATAGGCACAATTTGTACACTCAGTAAAACATGGGGAAAGTGCCTGACATTTACTTACTGTGCCAGGACTTCTGTGATCCCTGATTGTAATATCCTGCAAACAACACAGCTGAAATTACCTGCATGTTTTCCCATTAGTCAGACATAAAGGCCATGTTCTGGCATTGATTTCTATGCAGAATCCCATCAGCCGATTAACAGCACGATATATAGCATGTATTAATCAGAAAGCTGCATTCCCAGTAAGGCTCCATTCTTACCTGGCCTGCAGTTCTGAGCTACTAATTACTACTATGCTAAACATGATTGTTTGTTATGATGAATTAAGTTAGTCTTTGGAGGTCTTGAAACACAAATCAACCTTCTTTTTTTATTCCGTAGAATAAATATGTTCTTCACATATAAAGGAGAGAATGTATATTTATCCTTCTTAATAACTGTGGTAATAATGTTTTAAGTCTAGCACTTTCAAGTGGAGCAATCAGGTGTCCCAAATGTAGAGATTGCTGCGTTCTTCACAAGGGTCTGGCTGCTCTATAGTTAGCTACAAGTGAGGGGCATCACTCCATGTGTTTGTGATGATAGCCAAATGACAAGCTGATAGGGTATTTAGGGCACTGCGCATTCAGTTGGCGTTATCTAACTATGGCCAGGAGTTTCAAGCATCAGACCATACTCTGGGGCATTTTAGTCTTGAGTCGCAGTGCTCTTTCTCTGACAAGAATGTGTTGCTAAGCAAGCCAGCTGGGGAACCAGCGTTAGCCCAGGGATAGACTGAGGCTATCCAATTCATTTTGTGTATTGGCAAGGAAATGGTGGAAAAGACATGGTGCTTCAGCATCAGATGGTTTGGCTTTCCCCCTCTGATGTCCGGGTTATTTTGTGAGTACTAAAAACCAATCTCATGATCCTGTTCTGGGCCTGCTCTGTCAGGAAAGAAAGAAAACAGAAGCTATAAGCATAAAGCAGCAAGCATTTCTCTTGACCGGTCCTGGCGTTAGCAATGATTATTGGACTAAGTCAGCAATAACAAATTGCTTTTTTCTTAACTTCAGACTTGTCACATGGGTGTGCAGAAGCTAACGCCAGTGCACAGAAATGCTGCACCAGGAAGCTTTCTCATCTCAATGGTCAGAAAAATAAGGGAGGCAGCACGCTTTCCCAGGGACTTCATCCTCCTAAGCCAGTGGTTCTCAACCTGTTTAGGCTAGAGGCACCTCATTAGCTTCAAGATGCCCTCGGAAAATGCCAATTCTTAGTTTTCGCTGTTTTCTTTTGGCTACAGAAAAACAACCGAACAATTCTTCTTTTGCAAAGAGCTAAGGAATGATGACAACAGAGTGCTATTAACTCAGTGAATTCCTGTTTGAAATCTCTAGGCTGTTTTTGTGAAATGTGCTGATATACCAAACAGTGCTGACATGGCGTGCCACCCTAGGATCTCAAGGCACCCCAGGGTGCAACACCTTTGCTGAGAATCACTGTCCTAAGCCATGACCCATATTATCAGAGCAGTCTGTGTAAACAACAGCAGCAACCCCTTCTGATTCAAGAGTTTCATGCATTTATTAAGCTATTTGGTTCTAGTCTCTCTCTAAGCATTTTTAAAGCATCCATCACTAATCTCCTTCCAAAATGAGCTGCCTGCATTAACTTAGGACATGATCCTGCACTAGTTAAGACAACCAGTGCTGGGGCTGGAAGGATTATTTGTGGGAGGGCTGAGGAGCTACTTGATGAAGGTATCTGCACACCTAGGGTCCTACAACCCTGCTCAATCCTGAACTCCCACGAACGTCTATACGCTTTTGAGGCCAGAGTTGTCCCCAAACCAACACCTCTCCCCTCCAGGAAGGTTTAGATGAGAATCCAGACAGGATAGCTCTGCCCAACAGTCACTAACACTCAACACTGTGGAGTTTATTAACTGCACCAGGCCTCATTGCTGCCAGGCAGATGCAATCCATACCACAGAGAGATGCAGCGCTCTTCCAACACTTCATCTACTGATTCATGTTTTTAATGACTAAGGACTGAAGCTGGAGCAGAGAGTGGGTATCAAGACTTCCCCAGACCATAAAGCTTTCACAGGAGAATTTATCAGTGGAAGGAGGTGAAGGAAACCAGGGAGGTTTTTAAGAGCAACACAAATTCTTATCAGTGACTGGCCACAGATTTAACCCCTGACTAAAGGGCAGCTATTTAGGAGGCACTTGGCAACTAGCAATTTTGCCATGTGAGAAGAATGCTGCATGTATTCAAACCAAGCGGTTTTAAAGGACGCAGCTCATGACATGGGTCTGAGAAAACCAGATTCTCTGCTCAGTGGATCCAGCTGTGTGCAATCAAACACAAAGCTGAGCAGCGCTCATGTCCCAGAAGGCTCTTTCCAGTTCCTATGCTGAGCCCAGCTCGACTGTACCAAAGATTTGAGGCCAGTAAGACTGCTAGTAATGAGAGAGAAAGAGAGAGACTTTCTAAAGGGATGGTTTCCTCCTTGGTTGCATTGCAACTACTTGGACCTTACCAGGCACTTCAACATGCAGTTGCTCTTCAGAAAGTATCCTCTGCATGCAGCATCCTAGTGCAGGACACGTTCAGCCTGCTTTCCCGTGCTCGAGAGCCTCATCCCACTCACATAGTCTTGCTCAAACCAGAAATGGAGGCAGAGAAGCTCCCCCCTGCCGCCACCATTGAGCTCTCTGGCTAGGTACAGACATTCAAATAGCCCAAGGCGGAACGGATCTAAGTTGCATGGTTTTCTGTAAGCTGCATAGCCTGGAGGAGTAGTGTGCAGAGGATGTTGTAAAGACATACCCTTGGAGAAGCAGGAAGCAGAGGAGAAGGCAGGAGAGTGTTCACTGCCTGGAACAGCGGAAAATCAGAGAGTCTGCGCCTTTGCACAAAGGAGTAGATGGTACCATGAAGCATAACGTGCAGGGGCATGGAAGGACACGGCTCCTGAAAAGACACTTTGAAGGAGGAGGGCAAGCTGCCCAGAAGGCAACGGAGGTCCAGTCTGCAGCACGTTGCTCACGGGACTGGGAATCTTTAGTCTCAACCCCTTCCTGCCCATTCCCTGTTGTGGCTCACAGCAGGCTGGATCTGCAGGGAGCAGTTTGGTACCCAGTCCTCAGGCAAAGCAAAGGGCTTTGAGTGAGCAGCAGGAGTCTCCTGCCCTTCCTCACAATAAAGATCACTTTGCTTGACAGACAAAGTGGCAGAATCTGGCTGCGAGTTGGGACTTCACAGTCTGTCCCTGGACAAATTACAAACAACAGATTTATAGGGGAGGCAAAGCAGAGAGCATCACTGCCATGTACATAACAGAGGAGTCTGCCCAAATAGGCCCCAGGTCTAATGCATCGTAAAGCCCTTTGAGAATACTGCCCTTGATCAAAATATCATCAATCGCAAACACATGAAAGCGTGGCTTTCGTAGTGACACCACTTCTAACTTCCCCAGTATTGCTCCTCATTTCTCAAACATCTCAACCAGGCTGTGAAGAAGTCTGTTCTCTCCCTCTCATTTTTTTAGAGCCATTTTCTCCTAGGAGAACGGGCTAGTGTAAACTGTAGAGTTAATCTCCAAATAGTTGCCTCCAGGGCGGTTGGGGGAATTAACTTCTCTCTACAACCTATTTTCCCATCTGTGTAAATGCACTGAGGGGAAGCCTGCTCGTCTGGGAGGGGCTCAGAAACTGGCTTCTCCTCTGGGACAGACATTTCATAAACCAGTTTGGGCCAAATCGCTTAAGTCGGGTACTACATTCAACCAGATTTATTTCAAACTGGTTTCAGCCATTTTGAAACTGGTGTCTGTGCACTGAATGTCTGTTCTGTTACAGGATTAAACCAGTTTCTGATCACTTAAACTGGTTTACATGTAATGTTTGTCCCTATCCCTAAAGCCATTCAGCTTGAGGAGCTAGTCAAGCACCTAACTACTCAGAAACACCTGCACTGGGTGCCTGGATTGACGAGCAGACAGGCAAGTAGCAGGAATGCAGTCTGTGGCCCCACTTTTCCACGCACGACTTGCAACACTGCCAGCTTGTGAGTTGGGGTGGTGGACGTGCTGTATCAGTCCCAGCTCTTGGGGCTCGGTGCTGCCATGAGACCCCTCAACTTGCATTGCCAAAAGACATTTCTAGGTCTGACTGTTGCAGAGAAGAATTAGAAAAAGTGACCCTAAAGGGTGAAACATCTGTGAGCAGCTAAAAAGATCTCAGCATGGAGCATAGAAAAAACTCATGTCCCAAACTGCAAGCCGGTTGCGTGACTCTTTCAGACTAGAGTCATATTGTATTAGTGCGTTGGGCCTGGCCGCGCTGGGTCTGGGCCTCCTTTATCATTCATTCAGCTGACATACCCTGTTGCGTTAATACTGCACAGTGAAGATGCATACTCCCAGTCTTCCCCATGCTTTCAAACAGGCTCAGTTTCCAGTGCTACTGCCTTCATTTGCCAGAAACTTTGCACACTTTACTCGCATAATTAATTCTGTATGAAGCAACACAACACCAGAGATGTGGTGTGGCTTTGGGAGGAGGCTGCTATTCTACTGGTGAATTTAACCACCAGCAGAGCACCTTCCTGTCATTGCTTCTCAGTGAAAATCTGCCCCAATGAGAAAGTACTCGCACACGTCTCAGACTCTTAGGAAGCCTCAGACAGATGGCATGACATCTGGATTTTTACATGACAGCTGGATTTTACTCTGTTAGGAGCAAGCAATCTCTCTCGGGAAGGGATCGCACTACAAGTGTTTCCACCCGGGCCATGTTCTCTTATTGCATTTAGTCATAATTCCTCCGTCATATCATTGACTTCAGTGGGAGAAGAATTGGCCCAGGGTTTTCTCTCATCTGTTTTCCAGCACTCAAATATCTGAGGTTATTTGCAGCTCTTCCTGCAGTGGAGCTGGCTCCGATTCAGCGGCTGAGAGCCTGTTTCCAGAGCTGTCAGGTCTCTTATCATTTGCTGCTCTGATAATAGCCCTTAAACAAGCTTGACCTTTTGATTGATTTGAACTTTGACCAGCATTAAACCACTTGTGCTAGTGGATGAGATCACTTATGCAGCCAGCTGCTCTATGTAACTGCCCTGCAGAAGATACAGTTTTTAAACCCTGCCTTATTCCAAGGCTATAAAAATAGGGAGGAGCAAATTCCACCAATAGTGGTTCACAAGCTGGGCATGGCTAATCAGGAAGGAGATCTTCTGTGATCATTTCTTGTTGTCCCCGAGGAGGGACCTTCTGGCCCATACATGTGTGCACTATAGTCATTATTTTCTTAATAATGGGAATCTTAAGTAAAAAAATCACAATCTTAAGTAACAAATAAATCACAACTTGCATGAAATCAAATGATGAGTATTCACAGGGAATATAGGTTTTTAACAAAATAAACCAATAAATAAAAAAGCTGTAGCTAATAGAAAAGCTTCCAGGACAGTTAAACGAACTTGGATGGAAAGATTGGTTATTTAAACACCATGTTCTTGTCCCATTTGTAAGCCAAATTTTGTAGTGCTCTAACTTGAGAAAAATTGACCAGAAATTGAAAATAGTGAAGCTGCCTGGCCCACTGTCCAAATGGAAAGAAATAGAAACAAGCAGGAGGTAGCAAATGGGAATAAAAAGTATTTTCAATTGTGATCATCTCTTTTTCGGCAACACTTCTCAGTCAAGGATGATTGTCTTCCATAATGATCTTATCCACGTGTTCAAAGATGGCTGATGAGGCCTCCTTGTCTGGGATTGACTGTAGCTCAGACTGTAGCTCCTGGATAACCTGGAGAGGGTCCAGAGACGGGCCACTCGTATGGTTGAGGGCTTGCAGGCCAAGCCCTATGGAGAGAGACTAGGGCACCTGGACCTCTTCAGCCTCCACAAGAGAAGGTGGAGAGGCGACCTTGTGGCTGCCTATAAATTCATCATGGGGGCACAGGAGGGAATTGGTGAGGCTCTACTCACCAAGGCGCCCCTGGGGGT